TCCTTCTCCTTCTCCTTCTCCTTCTCCTTCTCCTTCTCCTTCTCCTTCTCCTTCTGCCTCTGCCTCTGCCTCTGCCTCTGCCGCCTCCTCCTCCTCCTCCTCCTCCTTTTCTCTTTTTCTCTTTTTCTCTTTTTCTTTCTGGTGCATTTAACAATGTCTCTCAGGCACCAACTTTTCAAAGTCTTCGGAAGGGGGGCTTAGCTTGTGCGTCTCTCTTTCCTGCATCCCCCGATCTCTGCAAAGAAGAAAATCAAGCCGGTCTCGCTTCTTTCCCACCAGCCAGGCTCCTTTCCGAAGCCCCTCCGGAGGAGCTGTTGTTCAAAAGCGAGAGTTTCTGATCAAACACCGCCATTCCTGATTCCGTCCACAAGATGGGAGCGGGAGAGAGAAATCCTGCAGCTGGGAAATTGTTTGCTCCATCCCCTGTGGAGGAGGAGGAGGAGGAGGAGGGGTCCAGCTCTTCAGAGGCCGGGACTGGGCGAAGACATCGCAAAGATCCTTCCGAGACTGGTCATGGCCTGGCTGCTCCAATGTGCCCTGGCTTTCGTCTTCCTTCGCCCAGCGACGGGGGCCATGGATGCCTGCTACGACTCCCACGGCCGTGCCCAGCGCTGCATGCCCCCCTTTGAGAACGCAGCCTTCGGCCGGCAGGTTCAGGCGTCGAACACGTGTGGCTCGCCCCCAGAAACCTACTGCTTGCAGTTGGGCACGCGGGATTCCAGCACTCCGTGCCACCGCTGCAATGCGGCCGACCCTTTGCTGCACCACGACGCCTCCTACCTGACCGACTTCCACAGCCAGGAGGAGCCGACCTGGTGGCAGAGTCAGTCTATGGCTTTCGGGGTGCAGTATCCCACCTCTGTCAACATTACTCTGCACTTGGGTGAGTAGGGTGGGGGGGGAGAAGGGTCATCGCAAACCGCTCTTGCCAATTGGGGGGGGTGTTTGTTTTCATCAGTTGCCCAGCTGGCTTTCTTTGCAGGGAAGATCGGGAGGGATTGGAAAGTGCTTTTTAGATGGACCCGCTTTATTAAAAAGCAGCGGTTTTTGCGAGCCACAGCTGGCTTCTTCAGAGGTCCTCGGATGAAGGAAGCTGTAACTGGCAAATAAAATGTGTTAGTCTGAAAAGGTTTTTCAAGGCTCCTCCTGATTTGTGGCTATTCTAGATCAGTGTTTTTCAACAGTGTTGGCAACTTGAAGATGGGTGGACTTCAACTCCCAGAATTCCCTGGCCAGCATGCATGGACTTCAACTCCCAGAATTCCCTGGCCAGCATGCATGGACTTTAACTCCCAGAATTCCCCGGCCACGCATCTTAAAGTTGCCAAGTTTGAAAAACACTGCCCTAAACTATCATAGCTCTCCTTTTTCTGCTTTTGTAGCAAACGGGTTCAAAGATGATCCTGCAACACGGTTTGTTTCGCAAGCCACCATTGACTGCATTCACACAACATGCAACTTTTTCTGGGCCAAAGGCTACATTTGCTCTTTACATGGGGATAGCAAGGTTTGCAGTTAGAAAGAGGTGAGCCAAACCAGCTTTGTGGCTCAGTTGCCTTTATAATTAAACTGGATTCAAAGGAATTGAAGTTATAAGATGGTGTCCTATTCATGCGTTAAACCATGATCTTGGGTTGTGTGTGGATGTCCTAAACCCAAACCAAGTAAGACACACTATGGTTCAGTGTGATTTTGCATCTCAGTATGTACCTAGAAGTACAGACCAAGATGATAGGAAGCAAGTGGGCATCTTCCGTGGATAGAAGATGTTGGACAAAGTTATCTACTCAACGTTCTGCAAATTTTCCATTTAGACCTTCAGTGTAGAGGTCTAACTGAAACCTAATCTGATGGAATCTCCCAATCAATCAGACTGTGGAATCAAAACGCCTATTCTGTCTGAATCCTTGATTCACACCACCCAAATGGATGCGATTCAAATTCGGATCCCTTTTACATCTGAATGCATTTCACATCTGAGCCGAATCAGATGGAGTTGGCTTCATTCTGACAATCTGTATCTGTTGGGATGCTCAGCTCGAAACCGATGCGTTTTCCAACCCCGTCCCAATTCACCCAGGCCTACGCTCTTCCCTTCTGACTGTTTTGAAGGGCTGTCAGTTGGGGCTTCCCGTTTGGAAGCTAGTTAGAACATGGTTGTGCAATGGCTTGATTTCAGCAATAACAACCATTCGTTCCAACACTTTTGCGTGAGCGTCACTCATGCTTGATTTATGTCTTTCAGGGCAGGGCCTCAACATTGACCAATAACATTTGGATTTTTGATTCCTCTGTGTTAGATATGACTGCATTTGAAGGTTTATATGTGATGGGTTGAGGCCATCCCTGGGACATCAGCTTGAGGTTCTCTGTAGAAATGTAATAAACGCAAAGAAATACACGAGGAAGGTCTTTCAGAAGCTTCAGGAGACCTACCAAGTCCTACAGAAAATGCCTTCAAAACCAGAAAAGAAACAAGAAAGACAAGAGCTAAAATGCAGCCTTTGTGGTTTTTCCTCTTGTTTCCTTGCTGGTCTTTAACAATTATTTGTGGAGTCCTTGGTGTTCCCTGAGATTAGTTGTTTGCTTACAGCACTGACGATGTTATCTAGTCAGGTCATGAAACATCTGTAGGAGAACAACTCAGCTCAGAAAGCACCAAGGACTCCACAGTTCAACCCTCAGCTACAGATCTTCTCTTCTGTTGGAACAATTATTTGTTTCAGACCGCACACGAAGAAATGAGAAATTGGATTTCTTGGGAACCCTGCAGGGTGAGAAAAAAGTGATAAGCAATTGCCGTCCATTTAGGTGATCAAAGAAAAGAGCTGTATTGGGAGAAGTTGAGCGGTGTTTGCATCTCTGTTGGCGATACGCATCGCAGGCAAGCTGGTGTAAGACTTGGGAATTAGGTCCTGGTTGTGGGAAGATGTGAACCCTTGGAATTCCTGTTTCTAGCTCTTTTCTTTCATCCTTCTGGGATCCTAGTTCTCATCCCCTTGCAAATCTCCTCCTTTAAGAGTCCTCCCAAGTCTTCCCTTCTTCATCTTTTTCATGCCTTCCAAATCAAAGAATCAACGCCACAGCTCAAAACATGCTGAGGCTTTTTCTCACCGCCTCCCTGAGTTGGGCGTTCTGGAACTTGGAGCCCACCAGGGAATGCGGTGGACCCACCAAAGGGCGAGGAGCATTAAGAGGCAGTGGCTGTGTTCAGATGACACGTCAGGATAAAATGCGGTTGGGGAGTTGGGGGGGCATTTTCTGCTAGGAGCCAGCTGTTGTCAGAACATGTTGTATCAATCAGATTTCCTTCCTTCCTTCCTTCTGGCTCAGCACGTTATGGGAACAAATCCTGTCTTTCCTTCTCCTGTTCTCCTCTTTCTCCTTCTCTCCCTCCCTCCCTCCTTTCTCTGTCCTTGTTCTTCCTTCCTTTGCACAACATATTGGAATTCTTCCTTTCTTTTCCTTCCTTCCTTCCTATAGCATATTATCTGAATTTTTTCTTTCTTTCTCTTTCTCTTTCTTTTCCTTCCTTCCTTCCTTCCCATAGCATAATATCAGAATCCTTCCTTCCTTCCTTCCTTCCTTCCTTCCTTCCTTCCTTCCTTCCTTCCTTCCTTCCCCTTCCCTTCCCTTCCCTTCCCTTCCCTTCC